ATACATACATACATACATACATACATACATACATACATACATACATACATACATACATACATACATACATACATACATACACACATAATACATACATACATACATACACAAACACACACACACACATACATACACACACATACCTACCTACGTACGTACATACACACACACATACAAACATACATACATACATACATACATACATACATACATACATACATACATACATACATACATACATACATACATACATACATACATACATACATACATACATACATACATACATACATACATACATACATACATACATACATACATACATACATACACACACACACACACAGACAGACAGACACAGACACGCACGCACGCACGCACACACACACACACACACATACATACATACATACATACATACATACATACATACATACATACATACATACATACATACATACATACATACATACATACATACATACATACATACATACATACATACATACATACATACATACATACATACATACATACATACATACATACATACATACATACATACATACATACATACATACATACATACATACATACATACATACATACATACATACATACATACATACATACATACATACATACATACATACATACATACATACATACATACATACATACATACATACATACATACATACATACATACATACATACATACATACATACATACATACATACATACATACATACATACATACATACATACATACATACATACATACATACATGTATGTCAACCTCTGGTTCTGTTACCGCTGTATCTGAATAGCATTGCTCTTTTTAGAGCCCTGTCTGATGCTAATCTTGTTACAAGGCAAAAACATTTGATTTGTTGTCTATTTTTAAAGTTCAGCATCGGTTCTGTGTCGAATCTCTTCCTGACTGCAGCGTCCCTAAGTCAACCTTTTCTCGTTACACCTAGATAATTTCTTGATTTTCATAAAACGGGACAACTGGCCATATGGGGATTGGGGGAGGGGGGGGGGGGGGTACCGACGGGACCACCAGTGCAGACTTAAATAACGAGACTGCACTGGTGAATGCTTGTGTTCTTTTTCTTATTTAACGTTCTGATCGTTCGTCCATTTTTGTGGTCACCTCCATTTTAGTCTTACAGGTCTGACTTATTTGTATGCAGACTGTTGGTTTCTCGATGCTCAGATTTCGGAGGAAAATCGATAATAAGTTTTCTTCTACATGTTTGGTTTGCAGGCAGTGGGTTTATTTCTTTTCAACCAAAATGGGCCCTGGAATCCTGAAACCCACACGAGAAAACCAGCTGTATGACTTAAGAGTGTCTGGCTGATAATTTAACTTGACTCAACAAATGCTCGGATTCTGCAACGTCCTGTAAAGAATACGCAACTAACTAGCTTGTCTCAACTCTCGTCAGTCTCGACTACAATCGTCAGGTATCGATAACAATATATCAAGGACACCGATACTGTTGCATTAGTGCTGTATGAGATGTTTTTGTTTTGTTTATGGATTAACTTATTAACCTTGCTTCATTTATGTTTTTGCTGTCCAATAGAATTATCAACATATTTCTTCTTGTAAAGTGGCCGTGCAATTATTTACTACTGTTTGTCAGTTGGTATATAGGCCTGCTGTTTTTCACTTCTCAATCAAAGCGAAGATTTAGAAAATTTTTAACAGAAAATCAGGAACCGCGTTATTTCAATTCAATAATTATGTATTATTTATTCATCTGTGAATTTAACAATGTTATTAAAAGTTCTTCAAATATAAGAAAATAGAAAACAAGATCCACTGGCAGCCGATCTACTTAACAAACTGGAAGTTATAAAATCATGTTGTACTTTATTATGTATATATACATATATATATATATATATACATAATAAGGTACAACATGATTTTATAACTTCCAGTTTGTTAAGTAGATCGGCTGCCAGTAGATCTTGTTTTCTATTTTCTTATATTTGAAGAACTTTTAATAACATTGTTAAATTCACAGATAAATAAATATATATGTATATATATATATATATATATATATATATATATATATATATATATATATATATATATATATATATATATATATATATCATAATCATAATATATAATATATAGAGGCTATCCTCCGAACTTCGGGCACTAAAGATGGCGGCCGCAAAATATCATTTCGAGCCACAGTCACGTGTCAATTCCGCACTTCCGACGACTTAATTTGCGGTTTTCCGGCGATTACCGCCTCGAGTCCCCCACACCGCTCACGCGGCATGGATTGGGGCTAAACTAGATGGCTAGGACCCACGAGCAGCAGCTTCTGCATCTCCTGAAGCTTTGCTCGTGGGTCCTAGCCATCTAGATATATCTATATAGGCTATCCTCTGAATAACGGGCACAAAAGATGGCGGCCAAAAACAGGGCCTCAGTCAAGTGTCAATTGTGCACTTCCGGCGACCTAATTTGCGGTTTTTCATGGATTGGGGCTAAACTAGATGACTAGGACTCACGGACAAAGCTGCAGGAGATGCGGAAGCTGCTGCTTGTGAGTCCCAGCCATCTAGTTTAGCCCCAATCCACGGAAAACCACAAATTAAGTTACCGGAAGTGGGCAATTGATACGTGACTGAGGCTCTGTTAGGTTTTTTTTGCGGCCGTCATCTTTTGTGCCTGTTATTCGGAGGATAGCCTATACATATTATATTATATATAGTAATATATTATACAGTCTTTGGTTAAGCACCAGCAACTAGATCAAAATAAGAATTTTGAGAGCATGCATCTTCCCTGTAGCAACATATGGATATGAATCGTGGACTATCTCTCAGTCCTTAAGAAAGAGAATAGGGGCTTTGAGCTGAAATGCTATATAAAGATTCTCAGAATATCTTGGACAAAGAAGAGGAGAAATACTGACATCTTGAAAGATCTGAACATCAAGGGAGATTGGCTAATAAACAGCATCCTGTCTTAGAAGATGAAGTATTTTGGTCATTTAAAGCGCCACAACGGATTGGGAAAAAATTATAACAGGAGGCATGGTACCAGGAAGGAAGGGCAGGGGACGACCGACACAAAGATGGGTACAAGATATAAGTGACATCTTGAGTGTGAAAGTGCATGAGAGACCGAGTTTTTGTTTTCAGGCAGACCGTGATGAGAGTGAAGTTCTGCAAAGGACCTGCTACACGATGATAATATAATAATATTATTAATAATATATATCAAATTCGGTAAACAACACCCAAGTGACCTACTCCGGTGTATTGTCAAACCATTTGTTGTTTAGCATGTGAACCTTCTGGAATTTGGATTCTGTGAGTTTTACCCGCCCCACCATCATTTATAAAAAGTCCAGCAGGAAAGTAAAAAAACTAACTATCTATTAGAGTGAACTTGATATAGAGACACCCCCCCTCCCCTCCCCTAAACCCATCATTACTCTGGCACCATATTTATAATATAAGTTGTGCAGAGCTTTCCTTCCCTATATAAGCTCAAATGTCTCTAGGGTCTGCAAGACTAGTACTGGAACTCACACCCCTAGAGAGGTATATTAGAATGTAGGCAGGTGGTCATGATTCAGCATTTACAGAACTGATGGGGAAAATCCCTTTCCTGAAGATCATCAGACAGTTTTACAAAAATATTAATTATAGCCATTAAACATTTAAAGAAATATTGTATCATTCAGTATTATTGTCAATTTTTCTTGAACTTTCAATATGTATATTTGATAGAAAAATCGATCACTAAAACGTGAATATCCTAGAATTGGCGTACAGGCCTCATTGGGGGTACTTTTTGGGCTGAGTTTTGTAACCTGTCTGGTTGTTATGAATTCATAAGCAAAAACCCATTATATAAAACTTAGGTGCCTAGGTACTAGAATACCTCATTTTAAGCATTTGTAAATAGATCATTTTATTTTATTTTGCTTAAATCCTGCATAACAAAACAAACAAAACTGCCATGGAGAAGGACAGTGGTAACACGAAGAGAAGAAGAAAACAGATAGGTCTTGCCATTTCGCAGAGACAATATATGTTAATAAGTTATTGAAAAGATTTCTGCAAGATCTGCTGAAAGATTGGAAGTGGTGTGGAAATTTTCGAATATCTTGGGTCACTGGTTACCAACAATGGTGACACAATGAAGAAATTAAACGACGACTATCAATTGCTCTTCAAAGACTAAAACTGTCTGAAAACTGAATAAATTATGGAACTGTACAGATAGAATTACAAAGGTCAGATTTTTAAGAGCATGCATCTTTCCCATTGCAACATACGCCTGTGAGACCTGGACACTTACTAAACAAGCTTTCAACAGCGCATAAATGCATTTGAATATAAATATTACAGACAGGTTCTAGAGAATATCTTGGGTAAAGAAAAGAACAAACGCATCTATACTTCAAGAGCTGAATATTGAAGAGGGTTGGCTAGTAAAGACAATAAAACAAAGAAAATTGAAATATTTTGGTCACTTGAAACGTCATGGAAGTCTAGAGAGAACAATAATGGAGGGGTATATGCCTGGGAAGAGAGGAAGAGGAAGGCCAAGGAGAAGATGGGTGCAGGATGTGGCAGATGATCTCCAGATGGGTGTATCAGACGCAGGACATCTTGCTCATGATAGGAAGGTTTCCGGAGGGGTTGTTATGGCAGCGAGGTTCCGCTTAAAGGCAACTAATTAAGGTATATATATATATATTGTGGTTGTAAGTATGTGCACGCAGGCATATATATATATATATATATATATATATATATATATATAGTATATATATATATATATATATATATATATATATATATATATATATATATAATATATATATATATATATATATATATTCATGCTTAACTGTACAATTTGTATTCTGTATATTTTAACTATTTTATTCCACAATTGCTTTGCACATTGCTGTAGATTGAAACACTAAAAGCTTGTTCAGAATGGCTGACAGTATAGAAACTGTTGTTACTGGAACTCCTGAGTATGTGGATAAAGTCTCCAAGAAACGTAAGAAGCATTCAAGAAGAACAATTGCAGGGGATGGATTTGCAGACAGTCAGGTAAAAGAGTACATATAATGTGACCAGTGTTGGTGATACTTTAATGAATTAAAGCTGATACCTCAGGAGAGAACTGTCTTCACCGTAGACTTAAAAACAGTGAAACAAATATTATAGTTTCAGTAGAATAGTTTGCGACTGAGAGAATCAGTTCCAGTTTGTTGAATCAGTTGCTTATATATATAGCTCCAAAGAAATTAAGTTCACATGAGTCAGGTGTCGTCTCTGCAATAAAGGTTGAGTGCAGTGGACCTCTACATACTCTGTCTTTTGTCTTGGTTGTATGTGCTTTCAGATTGCTGTTGGTCCATCTCCTTATATTATCCTCCCACTTTTATCGATATATGTCTCTTGCTTTTTTGCCTTCACCTTCCCTCCAGCATGATTTTTAAAAGAATGTTATGTCTTTTAATGTGACTAAAATATTTCAGCTGTCCCTTTCTTTTTTTAATTTCTTTCAGCACTTCTCTTTTTTCTTTGCAGTCTTTCCAGAACCTCTGTGGTCTGCTGTTTGCCTCACACTTTAAAGGTTCATTTTCTGACCACGACTGAGTTTGTTCAGGGGGTACAGTTCCTGTTTATGCACTCTTGGTAAGAAGACTACTTGCTCCACTGAGTGAAAACTGAGCAACCTTTCTTGTACCTCATATGTGTTTGTTACCTCAGTGTTTTATTCAGATGGTATATCACTTGCCCGATCGGAAGGTCGTGGGTTCGCTCCCTGGCGGAGCCGGACTTTTCTTCAATAATGACCTTGGCTCCCAGGTCGACCCAGCCTTCAGTGGGTACCGGGTGCAGTCCCGGGAAGTAGAGGCGGCCGGCGTGATGTTGACCACATCACCCATCTTGTGCCGTTGGTCTATAAAATATAGGTCTAGCCCTATATGCCTAAAGGCGTGGAAAAGAGCCCTTTACTTTTTTTTTTTTTAACTTTTATATCACTTGCGTCATACTATATTTTGGGTGGGTGTGTATATAAATGTCTGCTGTTACGGTCATGAACTGACTTTATTCTACCAGTTTTGACATTCTTAGTATGTCAGTGTTAGTGCTTTGCTGGTGTTTTACTAGTTATGTTTCCTCTATTGCCATTATTCCTATTTTCTACTTCGTCAGAACTGACCACTTATCAGCCTGCTTATTGCACTGCAGGCGCCTATGGCCTGGACAGAAAATCCACTCACTCTTTTTGCCTTCTAGCACAGGTCCATCTGGGTATTTGATCATATCAATGTGGCAGGAGTTGCCATTTACGAACCATTTAAATGGATGCCTCTCCAATTACCTGCTATCTATTCCAACATCTATGGTCCAGATTAGGTTTCACTTTGTTTAAGGCTGTATTGTTTAGTTGAGAACCAACATCACAGAGCTCAGGACTTGTCCATATGCTACATCTCCATCTTCAGCAGCCAGCATAGAGTTCCAGTTTATATAATAGCAGATCAGCTGCTGGTAGAGTATACATAATATTCTCAGTTCTGTATCACCTTCAGAGCATTGAGTCCTTTTATGATCTTTAACACCATCTCTGTCACACGGTTTATGAAATCAGACTTCTGTCAGAGGTTATTGCTGGGTATTTAAAGGTCTACCATGATGACTTTTTATCTGTGATGTGAAATTCTTTGAATATTTTCCATGTTGGTTTTAAACTACATTGTCGGCCTTTGGCAACCTTTCAGATTACAAGGGTAAATGAGTACCTTACGCTGTAGTACTCTAGCTTTTTTTTTTTTAAAGTATCCAGAAACCATGAGTTGTAAACCCTTTGGCTCGGTACTATGGATATCGTAACCCTTAGGCCTTGATTCCATTATAGGTACCGTTAATACTGAAGCTAAAAGCAAAGGGCAGTCCAGAGATTTTCACTTACCCCCGTGGATGCTCAGTCCCCTGAGCTGAACTTGCTACACAGAACAATTTAAGCTGGTAAATCATCATTTGATGTTTCATAGAACACAGTTACTGATGTATTTAACTTTATTTGTCATTATTATTGCAGTTTGAGAGTCCACCAGCAAAAATACCATACAAGGCTATATTTATTGCAATTGGATTGTTTGTTGTGGGTGGTATCCTGATCATTGTGGGATGTCTCTTTCTTACTGGAAACATTCAAATACAGGTATGTTATTTGCTTGTTATTGTTGCATGCATACTTTGTCATTCAAGTTGTTTACTTTTATACATGAAGAATTAGGGAAATGGTGATGACTCCTAGGTAGCTGCAAATTACACTAAGTGATAAAGAAGGAAAGACTTTCCCCTCTGTATAACTTTTTTTGTATCAACATTATATTAAAATTATGTGTCACCTCCATGGTCAAAATAAGCTACAGTGTACCCCTGTTGTCTTCGGGAATAATTTGTGGTGAGGCCCCAATAACTTCCATGGTGCAACTCTTTTACCACTGTCCAAAAACCATGAGAGCGGTTTTCTTTTTTTTTTTTAAACCATTCGCCATGTGAAAGCAAACCCAAGTGCTGACATATTTGGCAGTATCAGCTTATTGATGTGTGCACAAGTGAGGATCACCTTTCATTCTGTAACACTTCCCCACAACCCGCAGCTTGAGCAGATGGTGCAGGCAGTTGCTGCAGCTCCAAAATGAATAGCTGGAAATAAATTTACCTGAGGAATTATAGTGTCTGATTTTCTTTATACTGCATAGTGTTTAAAGTGGAAAAATGTTGCATGAGTGAATGCAAGCCTCAAAACTTCAACATTACAGGGACTTCATATAGCTATACCTTAACAAAACATGAAGAAATTATCAAACTACTTGAAAAGTTAAACATTGATGGAAAAAATTTACGAATTATAAAGAATCATGTGTTGGCAGCAAACAGCAGCTATAAGAATTATTAACCATTTGGGAACATTTCAGATCATACAGAGGGAAATACAACAAGGATGTGTACTATCACCTGATTGGTTTGCATTATATACAGTGAATATGCAGTGAGATCTATCATGGATACGCCGGGGATTGTGATTTGTGGTCAAAACATAAACTGTGTTATGCTGACAAGTCACAAAGAACTACAGGAATTGATAGATACAGCGGTGGTAGAAAGTTATAAAATGGGCCTGCTTGAATAATGGGAAGACAGAAGTAATGGTGATTTCCACGGAAAGAATAAAACCTAAATGTATAATAAAAGTCATAGGGGTTATTTTAGGAAAAATACAGAATTTAAGTATATAGGCACATAGATAACATCCGCCAGAAGATATATCACAAAGATAAAGAACAGAAAAGGACAGACCAAAACTGCTTTTTATAAAATGAAGAACATTTTATGCAATAAATCCATGTCATTGGAGGTTAGGAAAAGAATTCTTGCATGCTGTGTAGAGCTAGTTTTAACATACAGCTGCAAATCCTGGATGATTAATAAACAGGCTGAACAATTTCTTAATTCCTTGGAGATGTGGTTTTACAGAAGAATCCTTAGAATTCCTTGGACGGCTAAAAGAGCCACTCAAGATATTTTGAAAGAGGCGAGGGCTGGAAGACAACTTTTCACAAACATCATGTTATAAGAAGAGGGAAACTGTAACATGTTGTGATCACTGGAAAGATCTGTGGAAAGAGAGTTAGAGGAAGACAGTGCAAGAAGATTCTTGACAGCCTTTTGTCTTGGCATAGAGTTGTGTCAACACATGAGCTGTCGTCGCTTGTGCATCTGCTTGAAACGGTAAAAATGAGGAACATATGACACCCTTAGACTATAGGAGTGTCCCAGGAAATACCCTACGATATCATGTGGCTGTGAGATGGGGTGACTTTCATGGTTTGTACTGAGAAAATGATCTGATGCATGCATTAGCCAGTGAATGCAAGCTACGTTGCTTGGTATTAATTGTTTATTAGTTCGGATTTTACCTGCATTAAAATATCATCACATTTTTAAAATAGCTTACAGATATCTCTGCAAAAAAACTTTTATAATTAAGAGTATTTAAGAATTGTTCAATCTGACTCACAAGGAACTTGAAAATTAATTTCTAATTTTTATTTTCAGCATTCAGGCCATACCTGGCCACTGTTACTGGTTGGAATATTAATGTTTATTCCTGGTGCCTACTATATTCGTATTGCTTACTATGCATACAAAGGTTATGATGGTTTCTCTTATGAGAATATGCCAGAGGTTGATTAATCTCTTGTTTATTCTCAGTGGGCAAGCATGACAATTTATTACATGAACACGACTTTTCTTCAGTTCTTTCAAGCAAACTTGTGTTGTTGTTTTTTTTAGAGCGTTTTTCTATTTTAAATAATTTAATTTCAAGTTTGGATTTGCTTTATTGAAAATCTGCACCATGGCTGGTATACTTGTTGGTTATATCCTCCAAATTAATTGGTTCTTTCACTTTGATTATTTCTTCCGGTTATGCATTTAATTTTGATGATTTGTTTTTGATGCACTATAAATTATTTATTTGTTAAACTCTCAGAGTAACATTGTAGTGAAACTATTTCAGATGGAATTAATAGTTTCTTCATTACTTTTGTTAATACTATTATATTATTTTAAAAACAATTATTGTTGTTTTAAAGTATTTGACATTTATTCATGCTTTGAACTTTGATAATGGCAATAGCTGACTATTAATTGATAGAATTCCTTTTCATGTTAAGTCATACACATAATAACACACTGTCTGCTAAAATATCACATGTCATATAATTTTGATATTTTCCTCATTTTTCTGTGGAAGTTGCTGTAAGAGTGAGCATCTGATAGAGGTGTTCCTGCATTAAAAACACAGACTATATAACAGGTCCTTTTCAGAAGATGCCCCTACCACAACCTCCTAACAAATGTTTCAAACTTCTGCCTTATGTATTTTGATGCTGAAGGTGTCTCTGATTTATTGTATTTGCAAATGTGCTGGTCAGTCCAGGTCTCTTCTCCCAAGAACCAGGCCTATTACAGTTATGTTTTAGCCACTGCTGTCATTAATATATCAGACATGTTGTTGTTTAGAGACCAGTTTTATTTCATATTTGGATCTTGTAGAGTATGTGTATTTTTATTCTTATTCTTTGATAATCGAAGAATTTTTCTGTAACATTTATTTTCAAAAGCTCAATTTTTAAAAACAATTTTGGGGCGATTTTTGTGTATTGCATTAAAAACAGTTCACATAAATATAATTACTATTTGATCAAGAAAACTATGAAAACTTGTTGGCTTTTCCATCACATATGTGTTGATAAATGAGTGTTTAGTTGCAGTGTCATGATTATTTCCCTCTGATCTTGGGTTAGTGGATCAGATGTCTAGCAGGGATATGGACAAAAAACTAGATGGGCCATTTTGCATATTGTGCATGTTAAAAATAGTTGATAAAAACAGTTGGAAATCTCAAATAAAAGGGTGAATAGGCAGTTCCCCAGTCTAAATTTTAGCATGTAAAAACTGTTGACACAAGAGAAAGAGTATAGCATTTTGATTTTAGTACCTGTACATTTGGATTCTTTTTGTTGCTACAGAATGAGCGTGCACTGTGCTGTGGGATGTTTTAATTTGGATTATTGAAGGAGAATGTGTGAGATATTTTATTGTGATTTATTGAAGGAGAATGTGTGAGATGTTTTAGTGTGAATTATGGAAGACGAATATGTGAGATGGTTTAATGTGGAATATTGAAGATGAATGTGTGAGATGTTTTAATGTGATTTATTGAAGGAGAATATCTTAGATGGTTTAATGTGGATTATGGAAGGAGAATAGGCTTTTAGGAAAATGTGGGAAATGAAATTGTTCCTTGACCAAACACCCAAACCTGTGTGATGTCTTAAAGAAATTCTTGTCATCTGCAGCTGATACAAAGGCTGAAATATTATCAGACTCCGGAATATTTAGTCCCACTTACATTTTGCATCATGTGCATTGTATATGAAATTGAAAACTTCATTATACATTTTCTTTTAACATTCATAAATAGTAAGTGTAAATGATAATTTTAAAAAAAAAGGTGAACCCAGCCTAGTCATTTAAACTGCAGCAAGTAATAATATTTCAGTTGCTGTGTATGTTGTATGGTCTTGTTGTGTGTATTTGATATATTATTATTTATTAATCTTTAAAGGGAACATTTATTTTATTTCCACTATAGATGAGGTACTGCTCACTATTTATTGGCAAAACACTTTTTTTTTTTTTTTGCAGGAATAGGTATGTTTGATATAATGGGTTACAATATAAAGTAGTATCATTGACTTTTTGAACTTCCATTTTAAAAATGGCCATTAGCAGCGGTGTAATTTTTTAATGGTTGTGATTTCTTTCCGATTGTTCTATTCCCTTGTCATGGACTGCTGTTTTGTGCACATTTCCAATGCAGGATACTGTGTGTTTTTCATGGGAGCAGCTTGTATTGTGGTTGTACTATGTCAGGATAATGGCTGATAGTTTTCGCAGCCTTAACCATGTTGTCTTCATTTGATCGTGGCGACCAACATCCAGGAAGACATAATTTTGTCAGCAGGGGACTGCAGCTGTCTAGAGAGCAAATTCGATAAAAGAATTCTGTCCCAGAAACTGAAATGTGTAACTGTTATTTTGGTGGGGAGGAATTGATACATATGGTTAACTCAATGGCCATGCCCAAATACTTATCCAGCTGTGGTACTACCACCTTGTGTAACAATCAGGTGAAAACGGGACTCTCACAGCCCTGTGGCTTACTGCGTTGCTAGGGGAGGACACGGTGTCACTTCTAACTGCAAGGACACACTTTTACCCCTGGTAATCATGCAGTGGAATGCCGAAAGTTATTTAATAATAGAGAGAACTAGAGGAACACCTGAGAGCAGAGAAAGTCGATGTTATCTGCATTCAAGAAATGAACCTCAATCCAGGAAATAGATTTCCTATTAGAGGATATGAAATATTTGGCCAGGATGGAGTTGCCACGCTGGTTCATAATTCAATACCAGCTGTTGAAGTTTACAGATCCAACCAGCTGAATAGTGAATTCCTTGCTGTCCAGCTGCAACTAAATAATAGAAATATGTCAGTCTACAACATTTACTCACCACCCACCCTCCCCACCGAACTTGAAGTTATACGGGTTCAAGAGAGCAACCTGCTAATTATAGGAGATTTGAACAGTCACTCACCTAGCTGGGGTAATGACTGTTTAGACTCCCGTGGAGAAAATCATTTTGAGCCATCGCTAATCACAAACTGTCTAACCCTTCTCAATCACTGATGACCAACACACATTCTATTCTTGGCGGTGGTGCCCTGATCTAGCTTTCGCAACAGGTGACATCCAAAATATTTCTGTCAGACAGGTGTGCGACCAGTTAGGTGTTAATGACATCAGACCAGGGAAGATTCTAATAAACAGCATCAAAATAGAAGAAACTCAGGACACTGCACTAGGCTTGAATTACAAAGAGGCAGACTGGAAATTATTTCAAGAACTTGCAGACTTAACATGCAAAGAAATCAGCCTGTCAGGTAAGGTAGACAGAGATGCACAAAAATTCAACAAAGCCATACTAAAAGCAGCAAATAAAGCAATTCCTAGAGGAAGGAAATGCACTTATAAGCCATATAGATCACCAGAACAAGAAGTTCTTCACAGTTAGCTCTATGATGCTTGAGATAGCATGGAAGCTGATCCAGCAGACAAACATATAAAGCAGCACAACAGAGCAAGAGCCCTTTATGTCAGAGAAAGAAACCTACAGTGTAGAAAATCCTGGAAAGAAAGCACTGCTTCTCTGAACATGGAAAAAGATACCAACAAATTGTGGAGACTGACAAAAGCACTAAATGATGACAACCCATCTCATGGAAATACAGTTCTACAATAAGAAGAAAATTTACTCACAGGGAAGGAAGCAGCGACTCTGCTGGCCCAAAACTATGAGAAAAAAAGCTTATATTCAGTAACCCTGGAGCAGAAGAAAGCTGTCCAAGATGGGATAAACTCTACATAAAAAAAAAAAAGCATTTTGTGAGCCATGCATGGAGACAGACATCACTCTAACTGAGCTACTAAGAGCACTGAGAAAACTCAAGTTAAAGAAGGCACCTGGCCTAGATGAAGTCTCAAACAACATGCTCAAACATATGGGTCCAGTAACACAAAACATCTTACTCCAGATATACAACTATAGCTGGAAACTAGGCAGAGACCCAGATATCTGGGAAAATGCTATAATCCACCCTATCCTCAAAAGTGGCAAGGACTAGAAGGGACCCTCAGAGCTACAGGCCTGTCAGTTTGCTAAGTTGCCCTGCAAAACTGATAGAGAGAGTGCTGGCCACCAGACTTCAGTGGTTCCTAGAAACCAATCACAAACTGGATCCGGCTCAGACAGGCTACAGACAACACAGAAGCACTGATGCATACCTCACACAGGATATAGAAAATGGCTTCCAAGAAAAGAGAAAACCCTGGCAGTCTTTTTGTGTGTGACATGTCTGAGGCCTTGGACAAAGTATGGATGGAAGGATGGTTAGTTGCTAAAGCTCTTGCACAGTGGAGTAAGAGGCAGAATATACTACTGGATACAAGACTTCCTATCCCACAGGTGAGCATCCATGATACTGGATGGAGTGCATGGACCCAGATTCAAGCTGAGAGCAGGAGTACCACAGAGAAGTACTGTCTCAAGTTCTGTTTCTGATCTACATCAGTGACCTACCACAAGCTCTACCCACACATGTATCCCGTTCTCTTCACGCAGATGACCTAGCAGTTTGGTACAGCTCTGAGTTTATTGGAACTGTCATATCAAAACTCCAAGAAAGTCTAAACAGCATCATAAACCGCTGATGCTTTAGCCACAGAAGGCAGCAGGAAACCACAGATCTACCAACCAATATCTTTTTCAGAAGTCAAAACCCTCATTAGGAGAAAATCAGAAACAGATTAGGAAAGCCAACACAGGTTATAACCATGAAAAAGATTATCTCAAACACCTGATCAGGACAGACCAAGACACAGTTTTTCGCTTAAACATTGGTCAGTGCAGACTCAACAAATACTCATATAAATATATGAGCCAAGCAGCTCTCTGCCAGTATCTTCGTGCTGAACAGACTCCAGAACATGTTCTCTTTTAGCGGAGCTGCGAAGCAACATGTGGCCACACCCAGTGGACCTAACAACTAAGATTTGTTGAAACCTA